TCTATCACTATCTTCTCTAATTCTCTCACACTTACTTCTCTCTTTCATTCTCACTCACTCTCAATCTTGCCAAAAGGTATATTCTCTCCAAATTTTAAATTTATTTCATTAATGTGTTTTTGGAGTTAGTTTTGAGTTTGTGTGGGGTTTGGGATTGGAGTTTGGGTTGGATTTGTGGTATAACAATTTTAGGGGAGATTGTCCCTTTTTTTTGTGTGGTTATTTGACCTTTTTTTTTTTGGGTAGGGAATCATCGAGACTTTGACGGCTAATGTTGAGGATTAGGAAGCTATCAAAACATATCCTCCGCCACTATCACCACAATACTCTTGTATTAGGATTTTATTATTGTACTTTGTTAATTTATGTGTACATTTTGAATATTATATATATATTTATTGGATAATTTGATCACTATTTTTCATATGTAATTTTATTTTGAATATGTCAACTTAAATTAAAGTAATTAAAAAAATAGATAATTATAAAGAAACCCAATTCTAGCTATATAATCATAGAAATACCCAATATGAAATTGAATTCATAAACACACCCTACCTTACATTAAACATACTTTATAAACACACCCTACTATTGCCAGCTTTTTTTTTTTTAGTTTACTTAATATACAGATTTCCTGATTTACCATTTAGTGAGAAATTCATACAAAAAACTCAAAAGTGGATTATTACTCATCGGTTGTTACTCTCTATCTCTCTCTCTCTCTCTCTCTGTGGTGCGGACGCAGGCATATTTCATTGAAAAGCACAAAGCAACACAGTGCCAGAATTAGTAGCCTCGATCTAATGAGTTGTTGCAGACAACAATGGATTTCTCGGTAAAAATTAAAATGTGCGAATTTTCATTTCCTATTGTTTATGCTTAATTTTTGATTTTCTGATTAATCAAGCAGGAGGTTGAGTAGAGATCGAGATCGAGTTCTTTATCATTGGGCGAGTGGATCTGCGTGGCATTTATACTGTTTGTAGCGATCATAGAGGTGTTGATTTTTGCTGTGACCGGTTGCTTCAGCGGCCGTCCCTGCCCAACCAAACGCCGTTTCGTTTTCGGAGATATGTTGTCATTGCCGATGAAACTAGATGTATGAATTTATTTATTTATTTAAAATATTCAGAAGATTAAGAAAACTATATATATGCAGAACTTCGAATCATGAATTATTTCCTTTTGCTTTGGGAATTTTGAAAAAAAGAAAAAAGAAGAAGAAGAAATAAATGATTAGTTAATGAGAATTTTGAATGCTGTTTGGGCCATTTACTTGCATGAAATCATGATGCAGTTACTATTAATGAGCTGGAGGTATTGTATGAGCTGTTTAAAAAGTTGTGTAGTTCAATCATCAATGACAGATGAATTCATAAGGTCAGCCAAATTTACTTGAATCATTCAAATTCAATTATGAAGAAATGTGTTGTTTCTTTCTAGTTTCATGCATTGTAGTAATTATTTGGATGATGATTATGTTGCAGGAAGAGTTTCAACTAGCACTATTCAGAATTCCCTATGGTGAAAATCTTTTCATGGACAGGGTATATGCTTCATACCAACATCTTGAACTAATTGACTAGGATATATATAATTCCCTGCACCTACTTACACGAACTGGATTTTGCTTTTCTAGGTTTTTGATCTCTTTGATGAAAAGAAAATGGTGTCTTTGAATTTGATGACTTTGTTCATTCACTCAATGTCTATATATTTTGAAAGTGTTTACCACCTTTATGGTAGTGAAGTGGTTATTAGTTATTACTAACGAGTTTTCTAGTATGGCCTTGGTACTAACAATGCATGACACAAAGGAATATGTAAGCAACCACCCGACCCGCCCAGTGTGAATACTTGTTTTACTGCTTTCATCAGTTTCATGGTCATTTCTATATGCAAGCTTTGTTATCTTGATGACCTTGTATGTAAAGTTGCTTCTGTTTATTTTGAGAAACAATGTGCTGATATGATATTTGCAATGCATTCTGTTCATTGAGACTCCGTGTGTTGTGTTGGTTTGTACGGTGAATTTTAAAATGGTTGGCTTTATTTTTTGTGATATGCTGGTAACACAATGCAACTGTCTTGTTTTGTATGTACTTAGATATGAAAGTGAACTTATCATGTATCTGAAGTAATGTAAGTAGTTAAAACCTATTTTAAAATTGAACCAAAAGATGGAATTTTATACTTTAAAATTATACATTTAGTTCGCATATAGAGCAGGACTGTCATGTATATGTATCTTGTATTTTCCACAGACTAAGGTTGGTAATATTGTCAGTTGCTTTAGAGTTCAAAACTCCCAATCTCCATTTTCACTTCATTATTGATTTGCAAGGTGCATGGTGTGGCTGCATTGCATCTATGTGCTCTCTATCTATAATTTTCTCTCACATGCAATGCAAGATGAGAGATTCCCATGTCAAGAAGGGTGTTGTTAGCTTGATGCCCCATTCTCTTTCACTTGTCTTCACTTCACTCCCTTTTTACTGTAAGTCTGGCCAACTGTTGTGTTTTTCCTTTGAAGTCATTCTTTCCAGATTCAATATAACACACTCTTGGTATGATTAGGGCTCATACATAGTACATCAGATGTATATACTCCCCCTCTCTCTCTCTCTCTCTCTCTCTCTCTCTCTCTCTCTCTCTCTCTCTCTCTCTAAACAGTGGATGCCATGATAATTGTTGACTTGTTAAGAGTGATCTAATTGTATTGTTCTGATTTACTCTTGCAATTGTTAGTTGTTGTGAATTAGCTTTATGTTAAAAATATGCAGAAAACTCAACACCCACCAGCTTAGTTCTGTCATGGCTTTATGTCTCCTTCATATTAAGAACATAAACAATTCCGTTCTACTCTTATTATCAAAAGTGCTTTCATGCATTAGGCCAATGTTAGTCAAAAATATGATGATTCATCTGACATTTAAGGGCTGGTAAGGACAAATTAATATCAAATGATTGTTGAGTAAAATTAAAAATAATTTTTTGTTTTTATTTTATTAATATTTCTTCATCTTTCATGCCCTTTTTACATGTTTTCTTATCTCTTTACCTCCCACCACCAAAGAATATGAAGAAAGAAGAAACTCTGAAAATTCGACCTAGGTGGCTCCTAGACCCTAAGCGGGAGAACACCGCTGCGAGTTCACTCTAAATGTAAAGGGTAGGGGCCGGAGAGTTAAGCTGCACTTGGGAATGTTTCACAGTAAATCAATCCAAGGGTCAATTTTTTCTTCTTCTTTTTGTTCGTGGGAATGTTTTCCTTTAACTACATAAGTTTGGATGCTGTTTTACTGGGTGGTAATCAGAGCTTGTGGAGAATTTAGTACTCACAACATCTTCTATGACATAGTAATAACAGTGTACTTCTATGACATAATATTAACAGTGTACTTTTTTTTTCTTTTTGTAGAGGTATTTCCTTTTGCCTTTGCGATTGTATGTGTGAAACTGTGGACAATTGGAGGTGGTTTCTGCAAAAGATATCGGATGTCTTGCTGGGTTGTTTTAGTTTTTTTTTAAAATTTTTTTGTATGAAATGGTATTAACAATGTACTTCTATAAAATGGTATTAACAAAGTACTTCTATCACATGATATTAACAGTGTTCTTCTATAACATGCCATTAACAATATACTTCTATGAAATGGTATTAAAAATGTACTTCTATCACATGATATTAACAATGTACTTCTATCACATAGTATTAACAGTGTACGGAGGTTTAGTGGAGAAGGGTCGTAAGGACAGCTCCTTGATTTTCACGATTTTTTTTTAGTTTTGGTTTTTTTTTTTTAAATTTAGGCTGGACTTGTTTTGGGTTCTTTTTGAGTTTTTTTTGTATTGGGCTTGTTTTAAGTTAATCAATGGTAGATATGTAATTTATAGAAACTTCAACACTCATTTCTTACTTAGTAAATAGGTTTTGGGTGTGTTTCTAAAGTGCATTTTCATGTGGGGTTTTTTTTTTTTATAATTTCAGCCCCTATTTTGGGTATATTACTAAAGCTCCCTTAAAAAAAATCATACAATTAAATTAAATTTAAAAAGTAAAAATTTGAAAAAATTAATATCAATTTAAATTAAAGTAGTGAAAAAAATCATACAATTAAATTAAATTTAAAAAGTAAAAGTTTGAAAAAAATTAATATAATTAAATTAATAGAAATAATAAAACAAAAAGTGAAAAACCAAAATATTTCGTCGCGCAAATATTTGCGCGACATTAGTATTCGTTGTGCAAAACTCTAAAAATTTGGGCGGGTACCAAAAATGGGACGTGGGAATTTTTTTAAATTTTTAAATTTTTTAAAGACTTTGCGTGACCAAAGTTTTTCATCGCACAAAACTTTGCGCGACCAATATTTTTCATCGCGCAAAGTCACTTTGAGCGACCAATATTTTTTCGTCGCACAAAGTTACCAATATTTGTTCTTCGCGCAAAGTCACTTTGCGCGACCAATGAAAAATTTTCGTCTCGCAAAGTCTTTCTTCACGATCTTTGCGGGACGGATTCCGCGCGACAAAGTTTCTGTCGCGTTGAAATTTGGGCAACTACAATGTATTTTGCGCGACGAAATTCTCTTCGTCGCGCAAAGTGTAAAATGTAGATGGTCGTAGTCATTTTTTATGTTGGTATTCTTTGGAGTCATGTTATGTGGCTTTAAATGTCGGCTCTTTAGGCATCTCCGACGTGATATAATTAACAACTGTGGCTTACTACCGTCGTCGTTCTTCTTTTTTACGTTACTTTGAATTAAATGAGAAGTCTTGTGAGTTATGCTTTACACGTCGGTAAGTACATTGGGGTCGTTGAATGCTTCCAAAACGACATTTTTTAATGTCAATTTTATTAAAACAGACGTGTTTTGTATCCAAAGTTTTTGGTTTACACGACGTATGTAAAAAACGACGTTTGATATATTTTAGATTTCTGTTTTTGACATTTTTTATAAGGACCGTTGTTTTTTGAATCTTGAACCCAATTTTTTTAGTATTGATCGTTTTGTGCCCAAAATCTGCATAATGAAAGTGAAAAAAAAACACATTACAATTTATTACAAAATTAAAAGTCATACATGGCCGTTTAGGGCATAAGTAATTTCATAAATTACAAGCATCATTCAATCCATATATCTTCACACCCATCTCGAATATTTTGATTTCCAAACTCACCCGCCAATTCATCAAATGTGTCAACATTTGGCATCTCTCTAGTAAATGGCTCACACTCAATTCTCACATCACCTAAGACATCATCACCAATAACATCATTCTATTCTCTATTAGGCATTGATAACACTATCGACCAACCACGATGCATTGGTTCGTCAACAAAAAATACTTGTTTGACTTGAGAAGTCATAACAAATTGGTCATTCCTATGTCCAATTTTACTCATATATGCAAGGGTAAATCCAAGTTCATTGACTACAAGGCCAAAAGTGTTATCTATCCAATCACACCTAAAGACTGTGATTGTAAACTTTTGGTAGTCAAGGTTCCAAATATCTTGAATAGCACCATAAAAACCCATATTTGAGACAATTGAGTTTTTTTATCCTTGGCACTAGCAACTTGCATGGTATGTGTAAGTAAATAAACTCCACTATTTTGAACTGCCCGCACATCATCTTGTGCCTTGATTTTAAATTTAACACCTTTAATAAGATAGCTCATACATGATGTCACTGCCATGCTTGGACCATCTGCTAGCCACCTCAAATTTTCTGATATGCTATTATTGTCTTCCCCATTAAGTTCACTTTGAACCTGCAAATTAATCATACCTTAATTCAATGTAACATAGGAAGAAGAAAATTAAAAGTCCAATATTTATTCAATAACATATACCTTAAAGCGTAGTCATTGAATGAAAGTGCTATTGTGCTTATCTTGCAGCCACTTTGTTCTATTTTTAAATTTTGGATACGTGGTCTTGAGGTGGATCATATGTTCCCTACATGACATGAAAAAATCAAGCATTACGTCCTCAAACATATAAGATCAACATAAGGAATAGTTTTAAATGGCTACTTAAAGAATAAAACTCTTGCTCGTTATAAGGTAGGACTTCCTCCATATTCTCCAAGACATATAGATGTGCCTGGTTTAACAGGTTCCGATCAACAAAGCTCACTGTGCAACCTGATAATGGCTTTGAAAGTCCTATCTTCTAGATTGATGGCACTCCAATTGTATTAATATAAGATAAATGCTCGGTGCAAAATTCTACAACTTCTTCAGCTATATACCGCTCTGCAATGCAACTTCGGGATGAGTACGGTTCTGAACATACCCCTTTAGCACTTTCATATATCTTTCGAAAGGATACATCCATCTAAAATAAACTGGCCTACAAAGATGAACTTCTCTAACAAGATGTACTACTAGATGAGCCATGATATCGAAGAATGAAGGTGGAAAGTAATTTTCAAGCAAACACAAAGTAACTACTACATCTTCTTCCAACTTATCTAGCTTTGAAACATATATTATCTTTGCACATATAGCATTGAAGAAGAAGCACAAACGAGTTATTTCATACCTTGTATGCTTCTCTAAAGCAGAACGAATTGCCACATGGAGCAATTGTTGCATCAAGGTATGACAATCATGTGATTTAAGGCCAAGAAGTATTGAATCTTGTAAAGATACAAGATTTTTTATATTTGAAGAATAACCTTCAGGGACCTTCATACCA